TTGGCATAGCGTAATGAATTAGGCCTAGAATAATGTGTGCTGAGTTTCATGAAAATCGGTTCAGATTTAGATATAGCTCCCATATATAGTTTCGTCCGATTTTAGGTAAATGGTGCACCAAAGTCCCTATATATCTGTCGATTTGCATGAAATTTGGCACAGCGTAATGAATGGAGTATAGAATGATGTGTGTTAAGTTTCCTGAAAATCGTTCAGATTTAGATATAGCTCCCATATATATTTTCGACCGATTTAATGTAAATGGTCCACCAAAGTCCCTATATATCTTTCGATTTGCACGAAATTTGGCATAGCAATGAATTAGGCCTAGAATGATGTGTGCTAAGTTTCCCATATATATTTTCGTCCAATTTAATGCTGTACCTAAGTCCCTTAATATCTTTCGGTTTGCACGAAATATGTCACAGCGTAATGAATTAGGTCTAGAATGATGTGTGTTAAATTTCCTGAAATCGTTGAAATCGGTTCAGATTTAGACATAGCTTCTTTATCGTACCAAATGAGAGAAATTAGTATAGGTTGCAGAATGCCATGTTTATGAATCCAATTTCATTTTGCTGGTCCTTTAAAAATGCGACGTTTGTTAGGATTCATCTGTTGAATATACCCAAAGTGGTGAAGGGTATCATATAGTCGGCCCCGTCCGACTTTACTACTTTCCTTACCGGTTAAATTTTGTAAACAAGACCATTTCATAATATTGACATATCAGTTTTCTTCACTACTCTAAAACTAAATGGCTATATTTTGTTATTGTGAAGAAATCGATAAAAGTTTAAAAATGAATCAATAACACTCCAAAACAAAACGACATATCAATTAGTAATAACTTTTAAAAGCATTTCATGATAGTTAAAACAAGTCAAATATTTTAGAAAACCAGCTGTGAATACAAATTGTGATTGAAAACAACACGTATTTGAATACGTTCATTTTTGTCGCCAATATAACATAAACTGAAGAAAACAACACATCACCTACGGTTCAATATAAAACCATGAGGCTCAATGGTCTAGGGGTATGATTCTCGCTTTGGGTGCGAGAGGTCCCGGGTTCAAATCCCGGTTGAGCCCGCTGAGTTTTTGTGGAAGCTGTACATTCAAAAGAAATAATGACGGTAATAAAAATAAAAACATTTAAAAAACCAACCCATCGCCGGGGGGACTCCTTCTCAAGCACATATTTAATTAAATACTTCTATGAAGGCCCTTTGCTGAAAATCGGTAAATAGTTGGCACTACCAAAAATTGGTGGATCTTTTGGAGTACTTTCATATTGAAAAGTAAAAACTTGATCGTTTCTTCGGAAGATGAAATTCCCTTCACCTATGACATTTTTTATAAAATACAAGTTTCGAAAACAGAAAATGTCGTCGGTCTGCTAATATATGGTTATAGAGGAGATTAATTTCATTTTGTAGAAAACATTAACAACATAATATAAACAGCTAATAAAAATTGCTCATTTTTAAAGACTAATTTATTGTTGTTTTTGTTTGAAAACAAGTATTGCATCAACACGTAGAAATCAATATCACAGTGTTGATCTGTGACAAAGCGAACACGACAAACCCACTTTTATCTTAAATGAAAAAAAAAAAACAAGTTCCATATCAAAAGATACAGCTGTGTTTACAATTTGTTTTTGAAAACTCCAATATGTACTCACTATTGTTAATGAAACATTTCAATCTTTCATTTGTATAACAGTTGTATTGTACCGAACTGAAAAAAGACAGATCAAGTGTTATAATGACAGCCGCCATGAGGCTCAATGGTCTAGGGGTATGATTCTCGCTTTGGGTGCGAGAGGTCCCGGGTTCAAATCCCGGTTGAGCCCGATAGTTTTTTATTTATACAATTATTTTATGGATGTGAAAAATTTCCAACACTACTACCGAATTCCTTATAATCGTGTAAAATGGAGTATATTTTTCATTATTTCTTAAATTCATAGGTTTTGCTTATTTGTTTGTGTTTTTATTGCATAACTGATTTCAACATTTAAATAAATTTAACTATAATAAATTATATTTTTTTTAATTGATAATTGTGATATAATAATAAGATATTTGATCCTGTAAATTGAATTTAGTGGTTGATTGTAGATATAATATTGAAGTCCTTTGTCCTATGTGATAGGTCGCTGCATCAAATAATGGAATAATAATAATAAAAATGTTTTTGAAGTACAATGGTTCTGAACCCCTCCAACTGAATAGACGTTAATACACTGTTAGTTTTAAGCTTTTGGAGTAGTTTATATTTTGTTGTTTTTTGAATCGCTTTTGGCCCTTTGGGCTAGATTCTCGTTTATGAAAATAAATTGAAATTGAAGTATATGTGCACTTCCGTCAAAAGGTAAATCAAAGTCGAAGATTTTGTTTTCTTTAATTGTACTAAAATATGCTAAATAACGACAAAAAGTATAAAAAAAGGCCACATAATTTAAGGACAATAAATTCAGACACTGCAGAAATAACTAAAAAATAAATGTCGCGTGAGTGAGCCATTTTTGTAACAAATATGCTTGATATTTCTTATTTACATAAAGATCATCTTAAGTTGAAAATTTCAATTTATTTCATTAACGAGAACCTATACCAAAAGGCCATGAGCGATTCTAAAAACGTTATTACATGGACCATTTCATAAACAACAATACATGAACTACTCTAAAATGTTCACATAATTCGCGGAGTTTTCCCATTATTAGCAATGATGGGATAAATTCATGTATATTTGAAGTCGCGTGAGTGACTGCTCTTTTGTGGCTTTTAGAGCTCCGATTTGATCGATTTTACTCGCGAGTGAAAAATACTCCCGAGTGGAAGTATCTAAAGAGTACGAGTTTTTAAGGAGTATACTCTCCGCTGGGAGTGCTCGCGAGTACTCCTTGTTGAAGAAAATGAGTGAGAGTCAAAATGTTCGAAATAGAGTAAGAGTGAAATAGAGTGGACAAATAAATTTGATTTTTTGGCTATTTGTGTGTGTGTGTTTGTAGTAACAATTCGAGCGAGTTTCAGTCTTTACTCGAGCGAGAATTTCGGATCTCTGTCCGAAAGTGCTCATATACTTAAAACATTATGTTAGGTTAGTCTAAGTAGAAACATTTCTTAAAAAAATTGAACCCAATATTTGCTGAATGGAAACTTCTTTAGTGATTTTTATATACGATTTTGGCTAAAGTCGCACCTTTCACTCGGTTGAACGGAATTAGGTTTAGATTTGGTAAAAGTATGATTATGAATCGAATCAGACATTCCATTCACTTAATATTAAATTTATAAATATTGAAAATTTTTATACATTGTGGGGGAGTTATCGTGAGGATTGGTCCGATGGATCCCATCTTCGGACTTGATCTAGGATTTACAAAGTTTGGATGAAATTGAATATTTCCCTGGGTTAAGATAAGATTTTCAAAATATTGACCCTTTGTATGGGAGGTACTAAAAAAGAGGCTCGATAAATCCCACCTTCCAATATTATACAGGCATGGTTGAAATATTAGTTTCGTTCCCATTTTGTGGGGAAGGTACTAGAAAAGTGAACCGGTATTCCCATGTTTGAAATTGATTTAAATTTGGAAGAAATACTACGATGTGTAAAGGTTAAATGAACTCGGTTACTCCCTTCGAGAGTTATCGTGCAGACCATCCAGCCATCCATTCGACTGGAATTTCTAAATCGCCTCCAAATTGTATGAAATGTCCAAAGATGAGATCTATAATCAATATTTTGATGAGTAAATTTTTTGCCATAGCAATGTGTTTTTTTAAATTGTGAAAGTCCATCAAAAATTTATTTCTAACCAATCAAAACCTAAAATTTTATGATCACATTTTTAAAGAAGGAATCTCTTGGGCTACGATGAGAAACCCCAACAAATTTCACCTGGGTGAATTTACAAAAAATGTGTTACACGCATTGCATTATATACAGATTGAACTAGAAGGGCAGAGGAACATAATAATTAATAATGAGATTAGAATGAGTCATTTGTGAGGAAAGAGTAATCTCCCTTATTTTATAATTTGTATGGGATTAACAAATTATTGCAAAATGTGATTGGAAATGTACGAGTAAGAGCGGACCGTGATAGTATAAAAAGTTTGAATGAAATCGGGGTCTCAATTCGAGCGATATGAAATTTATAATTTTCCCATATCTAGAAGTGTTTTTCTTGTGTGGTGCATTTTTATATGAGATTTACAAAATTCTAAAATATTGAAAATTCGGACATTAACGATTTGTCACGTCGAAATATATCATGTCAATCAGAGAGACGTGTGTCTAAATCGATTCTAAACGCATTTGATACAAAGACACTTCTCAAAAGAATATATTGCAATATTGTAAATCTGAAAAATTACTGTTTCCTTTTTAGGAAACATCAATTTGTTAATTTATATTTGTAGCTTCCTCCGAAATTTCCCTAGGACCTAACTACATAATTGTTAGTCAATAATACCAATATATGCTCTAAATTCTTGGAGGTCAGAATTTCTTGCCGGTATTCATCTTTTGGTATGTTGCACCATAGTCCTTTGTTTTAATTTCGTGACCACCTCCAACTACAACTTGTGTACAAATTTTACATGGGATTTTATGCTGCGATTGGGCCCAATTGATTAAAGTTATTGTAATTTAAAATTATTCAATATCAAATAAATATATTAACATAAAATCTCTACAAAAGATATATAAAAACATAATGTTAATTAACTTACCGAAATAAAAACTATTAATTCTTGTATCTTGCATGTCTTGAAATAACTCCATTAATTTTTGAATAATAATCTTGCTTATTGCTATTGAGTTCATTGAATATTTCATGAATTTCTTATCACTAAAATATTGTTTTTCATTTTGTATTTGCATTTATTTTCGAACTTTTTCCTATTCTAGAAGAAATAAAAAACATAAACTATTGTTACCATTAAACAAGGGGAGAAATCTTACAGTTTCACTTTAATTTTGCATTCGCCTCAATCCCAACCGCCAGGGTCAAAATTGTTGCAGCCTTATAATATATTATCTACAAAATAAATTGCTTCACTATCACTGCCACAGATGATTTTTGAACTTTGTGTATCGAATGAGTTAATTGCTTTGCGTAAATCTGTCATAAGGGCAGTGACGCTTATACGATTCTTAGCACGTTCTCCATTCAACCATGGATTGGTATTTTCTGTTGCAGTTGTGGCGGATGTTTCCATAGCTCTGTGTACACCACCACTCATGGTGGGATGTTGTGCCCATAACCAAAGTTCACCGGATTCAGCAGTGGTGAATAGTTTCGATGGATCGGAACGATGAAAACCAATATCGGTTATGGGACTAGTATGAGCAGATAAATATGATGCTGGATAGCCGGGATTTCTTAAATCCCAAACGGTTATTGAACCTTCCTCGGAGCCGGCTAATACAATATGTGGTTGTGTTGGGTGTGATGTTAAGCATGAAACATAGTTGCAACGTTTATCATCTTCACATGAGGTCATAAATGCTGAAGTCGCAGTCCCATCGGAGGAGGATCTTATATCAAACATACGTATGATGCCCATACGATTAGCAGTCAATACTTCTTGGGGATTGACGTAGAGTACAGATAGTAGTGAACAACTATCGGCTTCTATGGATCGTCGCACAGCCAAATGTGCCTGAGTATCAACAATATTCAAACGACCATCTTCACCAACTGTGGCCACATCTTTTCCATACACAGAAATCGACGTGCAACTGGTATTTTTGCCACTGGCTTTAAAACTGTGCAAAACTTCACTATGCGCCTCCCTTTGGAGTACATCTTCCTCCACAGCCTTTTTAATTTTTAACAAACTGATGCGGCCTTAAGGGTGTGGAAATAATTAAAACTGGGGGGTATACTGTATGTGTTCAAACAACTTACCATCACTACAGCTCACAATGACCGTTTCATCGGTAACAAATTCTATGCCCGTAACATCGCCATTCATAGCCAATTTATCACTGCATCTGGGAACAAATTCATTATATTCCGATCCATCGTATTGATTTCGATGCAACCGCCAGATACGCACAAAATTCTTTGGCATATCCCAGCTGCCGGTAAGAAATCGTTCACTTTCACGCAGCTGCTCTGGCACCCAACGCACCTTGGAAATCTTTTCCGAGATGAAGAATGTATTGACTTTAGCATCACCCATGGTTATTCTTATTTAAAAATAATTTATTAATTCAATAACTTTTGTTTATTCACTATGACTCTGATTTTGTTTATTTGGGGTTATGTTGTGCAAAAAGCGGCAAAAACACGGACATCTGTTGTTGACGCACACGCGTTGCCAACTAGAAAAATAAGAAAGTGTATTGCACAGTAGGTTAAATTGGAGCACAAAAAAATTATATGTGATAAAATATTTAATATTTTTTTACGTATTCTACATACTACATTAAAATATGTTATGATCCCGTACTTTTTCAGTAGTTAAGCTGATAAAAGGGTAAAATGACTAAATTGCTCTCAGAGTTGAAAATAATAATACAAGTTCTGGAAAAACTAGTAAACATGTGAAAAAGCAAACCAATCGTCACGAAATTTTGCATGTAGGAGTGGTTCTGGTTCTTGTTTTTGGTAATGATCCGTTAATAATTTGGAGATGAAATGGACCAACAACTGACCCGCACATCAAGAAATTGTACACAGAGAAAGGTGTCTGACCATGGAGTAAGCATGACTGTTTTGACGAAGATCAGTCAATGTTTACCGGGTCAAACGACCAGACTGACAAACATTACTATTCGATGGCGTATACATTTAATCCTGAAGGACATAGACCTGTACAGTTGATAGTATATCCAAGAGGAGTGGTTGATATTTCATTTGATACCAATTATATTGATCTATATACTCGGATGTGGGAGATATATTAAGATAATTACAGATGTCTAGGTATATTGATTTGTTTTGTATTACAATTACCCCACTAGAGGGCAAAAATATCGCGCCGATCGCTATGAAGAGAGATGGACAGTGGGTAAATACCCGGTAAATTGGGTAAATACCCATTTGTGGGTATTTATTTGTGTATTTACTATATTGAATCGGTAATACAACATCTTACACCCTATTTCCGGGTTTCTGTTATCAAATCGATTTAGAATGGATAGTTTTACGATACTTTTAAAACGTGGGTAAATTCCCGAGTTTTTACCCAAAAATTGGGTATAAACTCATTAACTGCCGAACCACTTGACATAGTCCGCCAACATTTTGCACACAGGTTTTTAATGCCAAAGTAAGTATAGAAATCCAAAATGGGGTCCCTGGGTCCAAGTTTGAATATAGCCCCCATATATCCGTATCTCCCGATTTAAGGTATTTTTTTTTGTCTATTAAACACATTTTACAACCAAATTGGCTGTAATTTGGCACAGAGTGTTATTTTTGGGTACCAAATTTCTATGTAAAATTTTATGTATGTAGGTTCACGTTTACTGTAGCCCCCATACAAAGGTACCCCTATTTTGAGTATTTACCCAAAAATTGGGTATAAACTCATTAACTGCCGAACCACTTGACATAGGCGGCCAAAATTTTGCACACATGTTTTTAATGTCCAATCAAATATAGAAATCCAAAATGGGGTCCCGGGGTCCAAGTTTTGATATAGCCCCCACCCCTTGGGTATTTACCCGGTAAATACCATCTCTAGTCATGAACGACACATACAAATTTAGGTCGTTTCCACGACTGAGGGGCCTACGACCCGAGTCATACTCGTCCAACGTCTGGCACCTCGGAATTTTTGGAATCGGACGTACAATTGAAAGAAAGTCATGCCCGACGTCTACAGAAGTTATATATATATATATTAAGTTAAAAAGTATTTTTTATTTTTCACATTTTTTCAAAGTTATTCTGTCTTTTCATTTTCCATGGTTCATTGTATTTTAATCCATTCAGGCATACAAAATGCGGATTTTTATAAAATAAACACGATTATCACACATCCCTGGCCCGTGTGAACCTAAAGTCTTTTAACTCTGTGTACAATTGACGTGTTGGTACCAATTTCACGCATGTCATTTAGTTGAGAGAATGTAAAAACGCCCTGTTTGCATATTATGTAGTTGGTAACGCAAGAAAGCATTTTGGCGCGCTTCATAATTGTAAACAAATCAATTTTGTTGCCACCATTAAAGTCATTCCGTCGCTATTGTTGAACATATAAGGTTGTTAAAGAAAACTTAAATACAAAAATGCCACCACGCAAACGTAATTTACAAACTGCCATGAAGACGAAAGATGATGACAAGAAGGTAATGAAGAAATTCAAAACAATTCCAGCCAACAGTATTATACATTTCTTTTGTACAAAGACAAAACAAGATAAGGAAAATGAAGAGAATCCACCAAAGAGGCGCAGCACCCGGAGTACAAGAAATACACAATCCATGGCGGAAGAAGGTGGTGCTGCGCCATCACCCATAAAAGAGGAGAAAAAGAAATTGGCATTTGTTAAATATCGCGGTGCGATTAAATATTACACAGATGGCAATGAAATTGCCGAAGCTTCGGATAGTTTAATGTAAGTAGACAATATTGGATAATAGTATTTTTCAAACAGCTGTAATTATGATTTGTTTTGTTTACAGACAATTTGTTGAAAAACAGCCCGGTGATGGTTTGGTACCCATTGCCTTTGACATGGAATGGCCATTTTCATTTAAAACTGGCCCTGGCAAATCGGCTGTGATACAAATCTGTGCCGATGAAAAGTGTTGTTATATATTTCAATTGACGAATCTCAAAAAATTACCTGCAGCACTTGTCGCTTTGCTCAAACATAAGCGAGTTCGTTTACATGGTGTCAATGTTAAGAAGTAGGTTTTAAAGGTGTTATTTAATTAAAAATAAGTTTTAATATTTATTTTGTGTATTTTTATTTTTAGTGATTTCCGTAAATTGGGCAGAGATTTTCCGGAAATTAATTCAGACGATTTAATTGTAAACGGCTTGGATTTGGGTGTCTGGTGCAATGAAGTGTGTGAAACTGGAGGACGCTGGAGTTTAGATCGTTTGGCGAATTATGTGGTAAGAGAATACAAATAATGGCTTAAGTATATATTAAGGCTCGGTCGTGGATCGTTTTAATATTTGTACAATAAGTAGTCTTACGTCCCGGATTACAACGATTAGGGCATTCAGGAACCATGATTTTTAAAATTTTCTAAGGCAATATTGGTATCCGTTTAAAGCGATTGAAATTGCAAAAATGCAATTATCTAATCGAATAAGTCCAACTTCTTTGTGTTTTGTATTACTTTGTGAATTAAAACGAATAAAATTCAAAGCACTTTGGAGGCTCATGTATCCAAAAGTATGAATACCCTCATGAAAAAAATTATATCGTTGTAATCAGGGCTCTTAGGCTTATCTGTTTCTTGGGACCATTCCTTAATCAGACGTAAAATAAGGCAAACTTGCCAGAGACTAATTTTTATTACTCCAGTACGTTGTGGCAATCGGCCTAGCTATGAATCTTTTCACGAAGCTTAGCAACATCATTCTAGACTTAATTCAGTACCCTATACCAAAATTCGTGCAAATCGAAAGATATATAGGGACTTTGGTGCACCAATTACATAAAATCGGACGAAAATATCTATATATATAAAAATGGAGCAAGAAAAATGTATACTAACGCATCAATTGAGAACGGCTGGACCGATTTGATTCAAAATTGTTTTCAGTTGTCGGTAATTACAGTGGGAAGGTTTTTATGAAATAAAATTTTGAGAAAAATCCGCGAAAATTATTTTAAAGAAACGGCTGGGCCGATTTGACTTAAAGTTTCTGTTAGTAGTCTGTAATTGAAGTGGAAAGATTTTAGTGAAAGAACATTTTAAGAAAAATCCGCGAAAATGTTGCAAAATATATTTTGAAAGATATTAGCATTTCCACACATTTTATATCGAATCTTTATGGTTTCATCTCTTCGGAGTTCTTTTTGGATATATTTTGGACGAAAATGGGCAGCGTATATCTTTAAGAAATTGTCAATTATGGATAATTCTCAAAATATGTTAATTTTCTACAATAAAAAACTATTGTCTATGAAAATCTATATACATATGTATGTATATGTATATAAAAATGAATTGTTCGTTAGTCTCGCTAAAACTCGAGAAAGGCGGAGGGGATATTTCTTATCTTAGTCTTGAAATGTTCGTGGAGCTTCAGGAAAAAACCGAAAAAAATTGCAAAAGAATATTATGAAGCATATTTGCATTTCCACCAATTTGGTATCGATGTATTTTGGTAGCACCACATCGTAGTTGTTATTTTGAAATATTTTGGGCGAAAATTAGTAGCGTATCATTCCTTTAAGCCTACATTTGCCACTTATTGAAAATTTTCAAAATATTTAATTTTTTCAATTGTATTGACATTGTATTGAAAATTTTTTATGTGAGAATACAAAAAATAATTGAAAATTTTATAATTGAATTTACACGCGGTCATTCTATGCACACGTTTTCCATAGAATGCAAGTAAAATTTTGGGTAAAACAAGGATGGAAAATCAACCATTATATGGTGGTTATATGTCTAATCGTTTGTCAATATCTTTGAACTTATAAACAGAACACCAAAAATGTGTAACAGTAAGCTCAATTAGAAACTTATTAAAACTTGGACATAAATAGAGTATTTTTCGCCAAAATGTGTCTTAATCCCCAATATACCGCAATGAAATATTACAGCTACTACAATGGGAATGAAGATATATTAGTTTTTTTGTAGGAAGATTAATGGGGGATATCATTATATTGGTCCTACCCGGAAACTTGGAAAAATATTTATAATTTTTTGTAAGGAGATTTTGTATTCAATGATCATCTAAAATATAAAATTACAGCCTATTTGGTTGAAATAAGTGACCAAACTCCCCAAAATACTGAATATTGTAGGTACTGTTAGGTGCAACCCCACAAAGGTGGACTAATATTAATAATTTTTAGTAGGATTCATGCTACCAAATAAAACAACCAACTACAGCTGATTAGGTTGAAAAACGTGCCTAAATCCCCAAAGGAGGCTTCTTGAAATTTTTGCTTCGAACATTTTCTACTCGATGATCATCCAAAATATAAAATTACAGCCAAAGAAGTATTGATTATATTAAATTAGAAGAATGCTGTTAAAGACCGTGTTTAAGATCTTGAAAATACCGAATATTGAGGGCTACCATGGGCCAATATTAATATATTGGGAAAGGTAATTAAATCCGAAAGTCAAACTTATATGTGCATTTAAATTTATTTAATTTAATTTTTTTTTTTTCAAAAAATGGCAGCAAGACTCGCTCATGTTGTAGATGTTTAGTACTTCTATGTTACTTTATGCGTGCTCTGATAAATACCAAAATATTACAAAGAGCAGTACACTATACATTATGGTGTAGGTAAAAAAAAAACAAATCTAAAATGCCGAACATTTTACACCAAAAAAATTGCTAGGCAAGACAACGTTTGCCGGGCCCGCTAGTATATATATATATATATGGGAGCTGTATCTAAATCTGAACCGATTTTCACGAAACTTAGCACACGTCATTCTAGACTTAATTCAGAACGCTATGACAAATTTCGTGCAAATCGAATGATATTCAGAGGGTTTGGTGCGCCAATTACCTAAATCGGATGAAAATATATATAAAAGCTATATCTAAATCTGAACCGATTTTCACGAAACTTTGCACACATCATTCTATACTTAATTCAGTAGGCTATGCCAAAATTCGTGCAAATGAAAAGATTTCCAGAGACTTTGGTGCACCAATTACCTAAAATCGGGCGAAAATATATACGGGAGCCATATCTAAATTTGAACCGATTTTCATGAAACTTAGGTCACATTATTATAGACGCAATTCGGTACATTATGCCAAATTTCTTACAAATCGAAAGATATATAGGCTCTATGGTGCACCAATTACATTAAATCGGATGAAAATATATATGGGACCTATATCTAAATCTGAACCGATTTTCACGAAACTTTGCGCACATCATTCTAGACTTAATTCAGTACGCTATTTTCCGCAATTTCAATAGGGTCCGTCCTTGGGCCAAACAAATGAGCTGTGCCAAATTTCATCCAATTCGGATCATAAATGCTACCTGTACTTTGTTTACTATTTAACATGGACAGACGGACGGACATGCATAAATCGACTCAGAAAGTGATTCAATGCATATTCTCAAAAGGACCATGGGTGTATCTCGATTATTTTTGACTGTTACAAAAATATGCACAAGTACATAATACCCTGTACCACAGTGTGGTGAAGGATAAACAAATCATTCAGCTCCTTTAATTCATATATTACATAGTAATATTCAATATTCGGTATATTCTAAACCATTTGAAATTAATTATATAAATGTTGATCTTTTTTTCTCCAATTTTAGGTTGAAAAGGCCATCGATAAAAACAAAAAAGTACGTATGAGCAAATGGCATGTTATACCATTGGATGAGGATCAACTGATGTATGCTGCCATAGATGTTTATGTACGTTTTTGAATTAAATCATATCTTTTTGTAATACACAAAACTAATCATGTTTTCCATTTTCCACAGATTGGTCAATTAATTTATCGTGAGCTGGAAAGACGAGCCAAACTTAAAGAAGAAAACGAAGCAAAGTTCATTGAGAAAAATGGTGAGGCTGCATTTAAAGCTGTCAAAGCATTGGGTGAAAATTTCCTCAATGAAAAAGCTGAAGAAGTTGCAATTTAGTTCAATAAAGTAGACCCCTGTTGACTGATTTATAATATTAAGTTAAACCTTAGAATCTATTGTGGTATTCAATTGTTTATATTTGTGAGAGAGATTTATATGCAGAAAAACAAAAACCAATTATTATAAAGTTTTGACAAAAAATAAAATATTTATTATAATTAATATATAATAGATCAGAAAAATATATTTATTTGTATAGGAATTGTATACCGCAGATTGGGGGAAGGAAATCAAAAAAATAACTTATGTTATCAGCGGTTTTCGTCGTAGAGCTATAGCCTCTAGTTTACGTTTTAATACCTGATTATCCAAATCAATTTGCCGTTGTTGTTTTTTACGATTAACAGCCGATGTTGTGAGTCGTAGATTTGTCTGGGAAGTTGTCTGAAAAATGTTGAGGATGTTAAAAACTGTTGCCTAAATAAACTAAACATAAATATAAAAATGTACTATATTATTATGCCTAATGTAAATCTTATTGGTCTTGCGTATTAAAAAAACAATTATAAATTCAAAAGTAAGCAACATAAATAATTCTCGAGTGAATATTACATAACATGTAATAATAACATACCTTATTCGATTGGCCTTTGTGCTGTGCACTTTTTGCTATGTAGGTCGGCTTTTGTGTGAGGATTTTACGCAATAAAATCTGATTATGCCGTTCAATTTCACGCATTCGTTCATTAGAGAAACTCATACTTTTTCTTGGATGTGGCTTGACTCTGAAAATTAATAAATTCAAAAAAATATATAAGTCAATTTAAACCTGTAAGGAAAGTAGTAAAGTTGGACGGGGCCGACTATATGATACCCTTCACCACTTTGGGTACATTCGGACACCATATACAAACATATATAACCGGGTTGGCCCGGTTGCGAGACTACAGCGATAGGGATTACGTTGCCTCGTGCTGCGACAGCGCAATCCCCAGTGAGTCTACGTCGTCGTCTTCCTCGTCGGAGTACGGAACTCCACCGCAGTCTCCCGAACAGCAACCAAGTATGCAGCACTTAACACCGCACGTTGCTGTTCCCACCCCTGATAGTGCATCGTTTCTGCAATTTAATTGCAACGGTCTTCGAGGAAAAATAGATGAGATAGTGGATTTCATGAATCGGAAGAATATTTTGGTCGCGGCGGTGCAGGAAACCAAGCTCAATGAAAATTGTAGCCTACAGCGTTGTGATGGTTACAACGTTCTGAGGAAGGATCGCACCAGAAGTGGAGGTGGAGGCCTAGCATTCCTTATGCACCACTCTGTTCAATACAGGCCTATCTCGCTTGAGCTTGACTCTAGTGACCCATACATGGAATGTATGGGGGTAGCAGTTAAATGTGGTACTGCCGAGGTAGAGGTGCTTAACGTGTATATACCGCCGATTAATAGCTGTGAACCGCGTTATTCGCCCAACATTAGTTTTCTATTGGAGGGCAATAACCGTCTGTTGTGGCATTCCGTCCTAGGTAATGACCAGAGGGGAACAGTGCTGGCAGAGCAAATTGATAGCTCATTTCTCTTGGATCAGACCATCTCCCCATAATCGTCTCCATCAGCAGACCGCCCGATTTCGTCATCTCTGAACGCCGCACTTTCCTTAACCATAGGAAAGCCAACTGGCAAGGATTCAGAGAGTTCACCAACCAGCGCTTCAGAGAACTTTCCATTCCTTCTGATGTACGGGTAGCAGAAAGGAAATTCCGAGGCATCATCACTGCTGCAGCTGCTAGATTTATACCTGCTGGTCGAATACCCGAGATGAGACCCAATTTCCCAGCAGAAGCAGTTGGTCTGGCAAATGAGCGTGATGAGCTCCGTCGATCTAACCCAGCAGATCCCAGGGTCAGGGAACTTACGTTGGAGGTCAGCAGATTAGTCGCGGAGCACAAGCGGAATAAATGGTTGGAGCACCTGAAGAGTTGCAACATTGGTACCGGAGTAAGTAAACTGTGGGCAACGGTTAAGTCGCTCTCGAACCCTGGTAAGAAGGATGATAGGACCTCAGTCACATTTAACGACGAAACTGTGACTGATCCGAAGAGATGCGCAAGTCATTTTAACCGACAGTTCGTCGAGCATCCCGAGAGCGACAGGGCGAAGAGAAGAGTACTTCGTCGTATAAGATCTCTTCCAGCCGAGGAGGTACCACCACAGTTTACAATGGGTGATGTTGCATGTGTCATCCGTAACGCGAAGTCATCAAAAGCGTTGGGCCCAGATGGAATATCCATGTGTATGCTGAAGCAGCTGGACGAGCCAGGAGTCGAGTACTTGACCAACGTCCTCAACTTGTCGATAGCCACCCACGTCGTCCCCGAAGCCTGGACTATGGGCAGGGTGGTCCCGCTACTGAAGCCGGGCAAGGATGCCAGCAAAGGTGAATCGTACAGGCCGATTTCACTTTTGTCGCCAGTAGCGAAGACTCTTGAGGCTTTACTCCTCCCCAGCATTAGAGAAAGCTATCCAGTTGCGGATCATCAACATGGATTCCGTAAGCAACACAGTACAACAACAGCGTTGCACGCCATTTCCACGCATATAAGTAGAGGACTTAACCAGAACCGGCCGTGCGATAGAACAGTGTTGGTAGCGCTTGACCTATCAAAAGCCTTTGATACTGTCAACCATGCCACGCTGTTTGAGGACATAGAGAACACTTCCCTCCGGCCGAGTTTGAAACGTTGGATAATCAACTATATGTGTGGACGCCAGTCGTACGTGGAGTTCCGGAACAAGAAGTCCAAACCCCGTAGAGTTAAACAGGGAGTTCCCCAGGGTGGAGTGATTTCTCCGGAACTGTTTAACCTCTACCTTTCCGGTATTCCACGCCCTCCGGACGGCATTGAAATCGTTACGTATGCAGATGATTGTACGATTATGGCGTCGGGTCCCATTGTTGAAGACATATGTGTGAGGTTGAACGCCTATCTCATCGATTTGGCAGCCTTCTTCAAAGCGAGGAATATGAAAATATCCGCCTCGAAGTCGTCAGCCACACTATTCACCACATGGACTGCGGAGATGAGAATGCCGTTGAATGTGCAGGTCGAGGGGCATACAATTCCGACCACCAACTACCCCAAAATACTCGGGGTCACATTCGACAGCATGTTCAAATCGTCCGCGCAAACCACAGCTATCTGCGATAAGCTGAAAAGTAGGAACAAGGTCCTCAAGTCGCTTGCCGGCAGCACTTGGGGCGCAGATAAGGAAACCTTGTTGACCTCTTACAAAGCGATAGGTCGGTCTGTGGCTAGCTATGCGGTTCCAGTGTGGTCTGCGAATTCTAGTGATACGCAATGGAGAAATATTCAGACCTGTCAGAATGCCGCCCTGAGGACAGCGACAGGGTGCCTCCTCATGACACCAGTGGACCATCTTCATGAGGAGACGAAGATCCTTCCCGTACGTCAGCATAGCAATATGCTTTCGTTGCAGTACCTGCTCGGGTGTTTCAGGGACGATCATCCCAACCATCATATGGTGGATAGGACTCCCCCACCCAGGCGTGTCAGGAAGGATCTGCATGATCTAGAGAGAGAGGTCCAACGATACAAAAGGGAGCCTCTAGATCAAGTTGCCTATCGAGCAGGTCTGAATGGCATTCATACAGATGCAGTAGCCGCAGCGCTGAACGGTTACAAAGTGAATGCCGTCCTCGGAGCTCACCCCCCACCCATAGCAGCTGAAGAACGTCAGCTGCCTAGACAAACCAGAGTAGTTTTGGCTCAGTTACGTTCTGGATGGTGCAGTCGGCTCAATTCGTATTGGGCACGGATTGATGACCAGGTGCAGGATGTCTGCCCAGCATGTGGTACAGGCCCTCATACCACACTGCACTTGTTCAATTGCCCAGCCAAACCTACTCACCTCACTCCGGAAGATCTGTGGTTACAGCATTTGTGAATTATACACAGAAAAATATTTTGCTACAACAACAACAACAACAACTAACAAAATAATTAAAAGGCGTTTTAACCTCCGTAATGTGGCTTTATGTACTTCCGAATTCTAGATCTAGCATTTGTGAATTATACACAATATTTTGAAATAATTAAAATACCTCCAGTATGTACTTCCGAAGATCTTTGAAATTGTAAATCGATTTAGCGACATAAATCTTTATCAAATAAATAGCGTATCAAATTGTTATAGCCTACATTATGCATATCCATGATGAAGATAATAATACATTATGCATATCCATGATGCATAATTTAGCTACCAAAAATTCTTTAATGTCATTTAAATCTGTAAACCTAATTATAACAAAACTGACTTCCGAAAGCTAAACGCACTTATCTCAGCCGTAAATTGGAGCTCATTATTTATTTGTAAGAGTCATAGTGATCTAGAATTATCAGTTATAAATTTTTATGATATCCTAAATAAGCTTATTCTAGAATATGTTCCCATTGTTAGAGTTAGAAACTCGGAACGATATCCATGGGTATAATGGATAAATGGACAAATAATAAAATAAACATTTTAAAAAATATAAAAAATCAGGCTCATCTATAGATTATGCTAAATATTCTGTCGCAAGGTCTAAATATACGACAGAGTCCCGAAAACTTTACAATCTTTATTTAAACAAGATTAAACATAATTTCAAATCCAATCCTAATATAATATAAAAAGAAAATAATATAAAAAGAAAAGCTACGTCAAAGCCCACCTTTTTGAATTTCAATAATCAGACATTTGAGAAAAACTCTGAAATTTCAGAGTGCTTTGCAAAATTTTTTCCCTACAACATATTCATATTCACCCTGTCCAAATAAAGACAGATATAGCTATAAATTATCGACCATAGATCAAATATCTATGCCTTTTTTACAAAGTCAATATGTTTCTAAAAATCTACGTAATTTAAGATCAATTAAAAGTCCAGGTCCGGATGGCATTCCTAGCATAATTCTAAAGTACTGTTCAGATACATTAGCTATCCCAATAACGCTGTTGTTTAATTATTCCCTCAAATATAGTCAAATCCTATATAGTTCCTTTACACAAATCGGGTAGCTTAACTAATGTCTCGAATTATAGAGGAATTGCTAACTTAAGTGCAATTCCAAAATTATTCAAAAAACTGATTACTGATGTAATTTCTCATAAAGGTCAGCCAATCTTAAGTCCATATCAACATGGTTTTCGTAGTGGCCTCTCAACCATTACCAATCTTATTCAATTTTCCTCAACCGTCATAAAATGTTTTATTCAGCGTAATCAAACAGATACAATTTACACTGACCTCAGTAAAGCTTTTGACAGATTTAACCATGAACTTTTAATATATAAATTAAATCAAATTGATTTCAGTATAAATTTAGTTAAATGGATATCATCTTATTTGCGAAATAGATCACAGGTAGCTTTGTTTGATGATTGTCTCTCCAAATCTATTAATGTTCCTTCCGGTGTTCCCCAAGGAAGTCATTTAGGTCCACTCCTCTTTCTTCGATTTATAAATGATTTGCCAAATGCAATAATCCATTCCAAATGGCTAATGTATGCTGACGATGTCAAGTTGTTTATCACCCATAATTCCATGAAGCAAGCTGATTTACTTCAAAATGATTTAAATAGCCTTTTTCAATGGTGCGAATTAAACTGTATGGATTTAAACCTAAACAAATGTAAGCATATGTGTTTTTCCAGATCTTCTACTTTAACAAGGCAATACAATATTAATGGT